TGCAGGAACAGCAGTGGCCAGGCAGAGATGATAAAAAGTAAATGAAAGGGCTTTCTTTCCAGAGAACATCTTACCAAATATTTTTTAAAAAAGCATTTCCTCCTAAACATTTAGTGTTTGTACTTAGTCATAGTTGCTATATGAAATCTGTATTCTCTGCCAATAAAATGTTTTACATAATTCTGGAACAAATCCACTGGTGGTGGACCAAAGCAAATTCCAATGCTATAAATCATGATCAGACAGGTTATGGGGGATAATAAATACTTATTTTCCTAAATTATTGTTTAAGTAAGATCTAGAGATGCCAAAACAGGTCTCTGTGGCAATACAAGAAAATTTTGAGTGCTAATAATTACCTGTTTAGTTAAGTTTCCTTCCCATCATACATATCTGCATGAGCAAGGAATAAAGTACCTGTACACAGAAAAAAAAAAAAAAAAAAAGGTGGATCCTTCAATATCTATACTGTATTTCTAATGATTACTGATATATATATATATATATATATATATGGAGTCTTATTGTTTTAATTAAAACCATCACAAATTCAATTATTTAGAAATTTAAAGAAGCTCTGAGATAAAAGGAAATGTGGGAAAATATACAGAAAAATGTACTTATATTGAAGAGTTCTTTTCCATATCATGGTGCTCAATATTTATTTTATTTATTCATATGTTTTGCTCTTCAGAAAGTAAATGTCTGTAGGATGAGAGACTGCTTGGAAAGGAAGGGTCATTCTTCTGTCCTTTGAGCTACTGAACATGTTGTTGGGAGAGCAGCTCCCAGAGCCCAGGGGCACACAGAGAGGGGAGCCCAGCAAGGGCAGCGTCTGTGGCACAGTGCAGACTGCTGTAAGGAACAGGGACAGACAACCTGACAAAAGTGCAACGTGTCAGAGACACTTCTCCTGGTGCACAGAGGGGACTGTGGAATCTGCTAAAACCCAGAAAGTGACTGAGTCAGAATTGAACCAAGCCTAAGAGGATTTATTCACCAATACCACAGTAAGGTCTTAATTTTATAATTAAGAAATTTCTTGTTTCTAATGCTCTTATGCTTATTGTTTGGTTTTCATTTTTAAAGTTTGCCTTCAGTTTGTAGTTAGAAAATAACTCTTGTTTGCTCCTGAGAGCCTTCTGCATATTTCCAGTGGGTTCAGGATGATTTTGTGATTAGATTTGGACTTTTACAGGGTCTTGTTGTGCACTGTTCTGTGGAAGCACTTTGTCAGTTCTTCCAATAACTCTTTCACCCTCCACGGAACAGCAAGCAGACTCAGGCTTGGCATCTGCTGTGTGCACAGCAGCAACTCCTGCTGAAGTGGTAAGTACAGTTCTAGTGAAATCATGAAAGAAGTGATGCTGAATTAAGATATTAATTTTCTGTTTTCTCCACTGATTGATAGCCAGATTTTGCTCTCTTTATGTAATGCTTGGAATTACCATATTTTCTTAATATGATTGTATTGTGGATGAGCTACTTTTCACACCATTCAAGGTAGACCCAGTAAACTATTTTATACTGGTTTAAAAGCCTGGGTTTCCTATAAACTGTTCCATTAATTATCCAGTTTTTGATATCTCTAGATTCTTAAATGGGCACTTGGGAAATTTCCTATACCTTGAATGGCCAGTGCAATCTCAGAAAGTTCGTGTAAAAGAAGCAGTTATTTCAGATGAGCAATAAATTCTAACTTTCCTCTATAAAAGGTACTGGCCAAATACCATAATTACAGCAAAGGTGAGTAACTGATTGTTAGTCATCTCCAATTTCTGTTCTGTTTCAATGTTAGAAGATAGGAACCTGCTCTGTTCAACTGCTTTATTTTAGGAGTTCTTGATCAGCCAAATTGCATAGTAAAAAATGCAAGTATAAACTATTGGGGGGATTGAAAAGAAAATTTTATTTTAAGAAATGCTTTTGTTTTTACTGTGCTGAAGCCCATTTAGATTCAATTTACACTCTGCTTCCTTCAGATTTTATGGAGCTTTTACTTTCATGACTGCAAACAGCATCTGTGTCAAAATCCACATCATAGAATTAGGCCTGTGGAGACACTGCCTGACATGCTCCCCTGGATATGTGTAAAAAGAGGAGAATCTCCACAGCATAACTTGAGATCAGCTAGACAGCTTCCCACATTAAAGCTGTCATGCCACTATCCATAAAGGGATCCACTGTTGCCCTCAGACCACTTGTCTTTTTGAAGATTTCCCTGGTTGTTCCATTGGATGTTCCCTGTTTGAATGGCCTCAGGATAAAAGATTATTTCAGATGACACTATGAACTTCTATTATTCTACTATAAACTTATATTATTCTATATGTAAAGACATTTTAAAAAATCCTACCTTTAGCCTATCCATAATGTCTTTTTATAGGCAAACTACGTATAATTAAGAAGTTACTTGGTATTTTGCAGTGAGATCAGCATTATGTGATTTCACTAGATTTCTTACCTGGCCTGTAAAATCTATGTAATTTAACATAAAATGTGAGATATAGCAGAACATACAGAAATGTTTAAATGAAAACAAAAAGGTTGCCATCATCAAGCCTGGCAAATAGAATTGATTATTCAGTGTGGTGTGTCCTATTTGGACTGAATGTTGTTTGTGAACATTTAATTGGACTGACAGTTTAGGCTTTGATGTTTTGCACAGCCAGAGTGGCCTCACCGGTGTGAATACACCCACAGAAACAACATGCTTAATGTCTCTGTTCTCTCATATAGTAGCTACTGGTTGAGATTTGAAAAGTTGATACATTTAAATGGAAACCCTTTCTTTGTGAGAACTCTCTAACCTGGTCCTCAGGAGGACTAGCCAAGACTAGAAGGCTACTCAGCATGAGCTTGAATTTGATTATGACAGATATTGGCATTCTGTCTAAAAGCATGTTTGAAGTGAAACATTTTTACTGCAGTAGACTGAAATATGTCATTGTTACCTGAGCATGTGTAATAGTCTCTAGGCAGCTTTTAGAGCAAAATGGTTTAATTTCAGAAAGCATTGCAGGTTTCCTGAAAGTCAAGTTTTTTACTGGAAAAGACTAGACAGTCCAAACAGTAGTGGAAAGTACAATCCACCTCTCTTGAACTGCTAAATAGTTATTTACATTTAAGCAACAGTTCATGAATGGGATATTATTTACAGGTCTTCTTTTTCATTCAGTCTATCTTGAATTAGCTATTCCACAGTCAGAAGTAGGGATGGATGGTAGCCACAACTGGGATGCCCTGGAAAAAGTACTTTTCTCCTTTGATATAGACTTGGTTTGGGTATGGTGCTTACTTATGGTAAGTAAGCTTACTCATGGTGCTTACTTATGGTGTTCCCTGTACTAAGGATTTGAGGGCTTGGATATTAGGGCTGTGAGAACCATCAGACCCAGGGAATGTTGATAGAATCTGCACTGTCAAACCCTGTGAGAAACATGGATGTAGAGCTCTGTTAGGTGGGCATGAGTGAACTTCTCATGGTGGCACCTGCAGCATAAAACAAATAATGTATGTTGGCATCAAGATGGCATCCTTGACACAAGAAGGGAGCATCTCACAGAGCACACATGTGGCTTTTTCTCACTGCCTGAGCAGATGGGAATTTTGGTTGCACGTGTAATATGGATGGATTTGTTAGCCTGGGTCAATATATAATTGGTAGTATTTCAAGCAAGATCACTTGCTTAATAGACCAGATCTTTTCTCCAGACTGTGCAACCAGAGAAGAATTATGGCTTTCCATTAGTAGAGACAAATGTAAATATTTTGCATATAGATGTAAGATTTTTTAGGAGAAAAGGAATCAGAAAACTTGAGACAAATATCTTCATTTTCTGTTAATATGACAAAACCATTATCTATTGATATTTATATTTATCTTTCTATTTATAAAGCTAATACTTTTTCATATTTTTTATACCTTCCAACAAATCACCTGCAGCAGTTGCTATTTGTGAAGCAATTCAGAATGTTAATAATTAGAGCAGAGAGAAAGAGAGAAGTAAATTCAGAGGTCCTATTGCCAGCTCAAAACAGTGAATGCTTTAAATATATCTTGATGATTTATTCAGAAATGATAGATTATGGGAAAATTCAAGACCAAAGAGAGCTACCTTAGGAATATGCTACTCTGTGGAGGAGATATGATACATCAGATGTGTCAGACTGCTCCTATGACCTTATGTGATTTTTGTTTGCATTGCTGGTTTTTAATTTTACTATTAGAAAAGCAGAAGGTGCTAATCAGAGGTAATCAAAACCTATTTTACCTCAACAAAGAATAAGTTTCTAACCTTGTACCCTACACAGAGAAATAACTGTCTTCCCTTAACACCAGCTTTCTGTAGCTTTCTCTTTCTGTTATTTTTCCAATTCTATCAAATACAGGGACTAATGTATGGAACCCAGTGCTCATTCCAGTCATGTGGTAGTTAGGACCTGTCTTTGAGTGAGTGAATAGACAGGGAAAACTGGCAGCTGTGGAGGAGGCAGGGAAAAGGAGTCTGTTGGGCTGTGTCAGGGGCTGGGTGTCTATATCCCTGTGATCAAAGAGCGTACCAAGAACTCATTGCACTCTGATGATTTTAACAATTATTCACTCTTCTTCCTGAAGTATTTCTGTAATAGTGTTGCCCTGCTACCTGAGAGAAGAGTTCCTCTAAATCTGAAGGAGATGTGCATTTTTCAGGATTCCCCACCTCTACGTTTCTCCCCCCTCAGCCAGGAATTCAATGCAGCTGTGACTTCACAGCCTGGCAGCAGCACTTTGCTGTCCTGCACAACAAGTGTCTGTCTTGTCCTTTTCACACTATCAAGAAATCCTCTCAAGAGCTCAGCCCTGTTTGTGTGTGACCATGTTCCAAACTAGGACCTGCCCCACTGCTCTCTGCTACCTGTTCCATCTTTGCTGAAGGATCACATCTGTGCAGCCCAGCTCGGGGCTCCTGGGCCACATTCCTGCCCTCACCATCTCCCAGAATTCCAGCATTCCCTACCAGTGCAGAGAAGAGTGGTGAGGGGAGGGAACATTTCCCATGGGATCCTGGCTCTGATGCTGCTGGTCTCCAGTGTACCATGGGCAGCCAGGGCCCTGCTGAGTCCAGAGCTTCTTCTGCATCCATTCATCAGCCATCCCTCATGCTTCCCTCCTTCCTACTTCTTTTCTAGTGAGAAAAAAATTAAAATGCAGAGACAAAACGGAGGTCACAAACCAGGAATGCAACTGAATGAAGATGAGATTTACATAAAGAGGGAAAAAAGAAGAAACTAGAGTTCTTAATATTTCCTTCATGCTATAGGGCAAGGCACGGATCAGTCCTTGTGTTATCCTAACTAATTTGTCTTCTTTAAAATACAGCCCTTTTATAGAGATAAACACTCTGCTTAATCAGAGTGTTCTGTGATGAAAATATATCTAGCTAAAGTGCTAATTCATTGAGCATTTTCTTGACAATGCTATTGTTTGAAAAAAATCTGTTTTGGTCTGTAGTACAGAAAAGGTGGAGTGCCCTGTGGAGATTTTCCCTATTAGTATGCCAGGCAGTTGCTTATATTTCTCCATTCAGTAATCCCTGAACTGAATCCATAGATTTACCATAGACAAATAGAAATATGCACAATACATGTAAATCAACTTTTGGTTGTGAATAGGATTTGTATGCTAGCTGTTGATCATTCTCTTTACTGTTCTTTATGCTATTGCTTCCCAAATTGGTGTCATATAAAGGTAGAAAGTATGTATTTTGAATGGATTTTTCACAATCTGACACCACTTAGAGGTTGGATATTATCAGAGGCAGATACTTAATCAGAGCTTAATCAGCAAACTAGAAGAATCAAAATTAGTTGATGATCAAAACAAAATATAAATGTATTCTCTAATTGATTAGAGTGGCTTGGGAGGTTCTGTAAATTAAAATATTTTGCTCAGATGGAATGAAAATCAACCTTTCTTCCTATTTTCTATCCAGAAATAATGTTTAATAGCAGTTCAACAATCTCTGCTCCTGAGGAAAAGTAGGAAGAAGATAAAAGGAATAAAAATGGCTCATAGAAAATACCTGATAATATAAAGAGTGCTACTTTGTATGTATGAATTTAATCAGGGCTGGGGTAGAGGCAGGACAGTGGCAAAATTCTTACAGTGAAACATTTTTTTTGCCATGTATTTTCTTGCCTGCCACAGAAAAAATAATCTGTTAACACTTTATGTGTATTTTTTAAAGGAGGCATAGTAGCAGGGAGGTGGGGAGAACAGCTCTCTGTGTCCAGAGATGTTCTCCTTCACCCTCCATCACCTTTCACTGTGTCCCATGGTAGGACTTGTCACAGGATGTCACTTAATCCCATGAGAAAGGATGGCCCGTGTGCATGGCAAGTGTGTGACACGAGGAGGGACACTCGCCATCCTGGTGGATAGAATGTCTCTGGTGTGCAGTGTCTCAGGTGCAACTTTTCCAAAGCAAAATATTTTGATTCTGAGCCAAAATATTTCAGATTTCAACTTAAATTTTTTTGAATGTCTAAATTTGTCCAGAAAAAAAGTTTTTTGAGACTGGTTGTAGGCCTAGAAGGGCTAAAAGTATGAAGTATACAGAAAGTAAGTAATTCAGACTGGTGATGGAGAGGGAATGTAACACACTGCATCAACACATCTGAACACAGATCACATCTAAAACACAGATCAACACATTTGAAGTCTTTCTGCATTTCTATTCCAGTTATGTTCATCTGTTTGTCAGTGCCTATGGGAAGAGAGGTGTTGACAGATCGAATCTGCACTGAGTGAATTGGCTTTGGCCTTAACATAAGTTAAACTATCCTTTAATTATTTTTTAAACTACTTTAAGCAACTTTTTATATTTCCCAGTTACTGCTGCTACCATAGGAAGTATGAGAAGCCCTCCAGCATGTGGATGCCTCAAAACAATCCCAGCTCAGGCAATTGAAAGGCCATTTTAAATGATGAGGTTAAAACAACACTGGCTGGTGTTATCCACAAAAACCTGCACCAGTCTTGTTGAAGTGCAGTAAAGATTCAACAATCAGATTTTGTAGTCAGACAAAAGTCACAGGGAAAGGCCTCATGGAATATTTTGTCATTAGAGAACTAAAGAATAATATTTTCTATGGGAAAAGTAATTGTAGGCATATTTACAGGTAACTTATTTCTATATTTAGTGGGATGGAGGTTATTGTTGGAGACCTTCCCCCTTCCAATTGTATTTGACATAAAATAATTCTTTTTCTTTTAAGAACACATCCAGTAAAATGAATATGAAAAAGCTGTCAGGCATGCAATTGTAATGGTATAGGATGAAAAGCTGGGAAGTGAAAAAGATGGCATATTGAGAGAAACATCTAATTTCTGAGTCCTGAAGTTTAACTTGGCTGCACGTTGCACTTTTAACAATAATAGAAGAAAGGGAGGAAGAAAATAAATCAAATAGAATTTGCCAAACAAAAGTGTGCACATCTCAGAAACAAGAAGCAAAGACTTACAGCATGCATCCAGGGAAACTGGTTTTTCTCCTCTGAAGGCAGGGCAGCTTCTCAAATTCTGGACTAATTCTCTGCTCCCCATATCTCAGGGGTGTGAGATGACACACACACCTGCAATTCAGCAGCCCAGTAAAAGGAATGTTTTTCAGAACTCTGCAATTTTTCAAGGTGCAAGCAATCAGCTGCCCAACGTGGCACGTTGCAGAGTAAATCAGCTAGCCTGCTACGTGAAAAAAACTTGCCAGGAACATTGTTGGATAGAAAAATAAAAAGTAAAAGAAATAATTTGCAAAAACATGCCATGAAAAAAATAGGAATGATCTATTAAATTGGGGGAAAAAAATCTACTGGTGTCACATGAGAATACCCAAAAACTCTGGAATATTATTGCTCGTGTCAGTTCAGCTGCCTCCAATTAAGTATTTACCATATGTGATAATATAAAAATTCTCAAAAATTCACTAGGCATAATTATTTTTTGGGGAGAAAAACACAGTGTTAAGTATATTTTAGATTTCTCTTTTCTCCTTGCATCCCACCCTCTTGGCTCTAAATAGTTTTCTTCCAAATGCCTAAATCTGGATTTCCTCGCCACATGGAAGTTTTATAAATTAGCTGCCTCTGCCTAGCAACTGTAGCAACATTTCAGGGACAGTTAATGATTTACAGCAACTCGAAGTAATGGAAAGAAAACCTCACACGCCAGAGTGGCTCTTACACTATCCTTGAGAGAGCTCATTTGCAGGGAAAGCTGCACCACTGAGAGTCTTTTCTAGAATTCAGATAACTCTTTCTGTCGACAGCTCAATGATCTAATGTGAAAAAAGGGGCAACACTTGACACCCCATCGGCCCTTTATTGCAGTTGCAGCTTTGAGGTCTACTGCTACAGTATTTGCAGATCAGTCACAAAAGAATGTAGGGTTTTTAAAAATAAATGTATATACAAAGTTGCATAGCCACCTTAACTCAACCAAGTGTATTTAGTTTTATTAATTTTAAACACCTTATTAACCATCATGGGTTTATGGTTTTCTGAGCATAAGGAAGTGGAGCAGACCTGTTCTCCTACCCCTTTGTCTCCTCAGTTGCCCAAAGAGCAATGGGAGGTGTGCATGTAAAAGCAAATGGGACAAGGCAATAACAGGAGTGGGGGCTCTAATGCACTTGGAGGCTGCGTGTTTGATGCTTCTTACCCCTCTTTCTTTGCTGCTGCCAGTGGAATGCTTTCTGACATTTACTGATTGTCTCCTAGGGCAAGCCCCTGTTTGAGTCCCAGCCCTCAGAGTGCCACAGGAAGAAACCATTCACTCAAAGGCTATTGGAGTGGAACACAGAACTGAGAGAGAAGATGAATTAAGATCATTTGAAATTAAGAAGCTCTTAAATAGATCTAATCAACATGTCTCTCTTGAGCAGAGGTTGGAATGCTGAACTGCCGGAGTCAGAAACATTTCCATTTTAATGGCATTAAGTAGGACATGAGGCATTACCCTCCAATTTTTCTGCTACAGTCTTTGTCTTCTGAATGGGAGGGGCTTAAGGACATGAGAGGTTCATATCTTCTAACAACAGTGGCTGTACCGTAGAACATCAGTCAGGGACTAGAACACACCTGGGACAGAAGCTGAGCAAATGCAGAAAACAAGAACAAGGAACCTTAAGCCCAAAATAATTATGCGACTTCAAACAGCAAGTTCTCAAAGTTAACTTAGAGTAGTTGTATAACAACAGCCAAAAGATAATCAGTAGGATGACAAAGTCCTTCAGTACAATTGTGTCAGGAGCTTTGGAAAGGTGTGAGATTCTCAATAGGCAGCAGAAATCAAGAATTGTGGTAAGTCAGATAAGTCTGAGTGCAGCAGGACCTTACATAGACATATCCCACACACTTTGGCTATGGCTCTTTTCATTACCATTGCTTTTTTAGTAACACTAAATTCAGCCACAGATGTTTAAAAAATGTGATTAGAGATTCTGTGCTAGGCAGAGAAAAAGGAAAAAAGGAGCTGTATCAGCCTTGTCTTTCTCTCTTAGATTTCATGCAGCATTCACAGGGGAGTCTCTTGAAAAATAATTAGATTTCAGTGAAAATGCACTGTGAAAAGGCCCTTGATGAATCCTGGAGCTACCCTGTTGCTTTACACCAGCTAAAAAATACATGTTATTAAAGGAAAGTAATAATTGTATTCTGATGGCATCTTCTTTCAAAAAGGTATCATATGTTTGTGTCTTACCTAAGAAAAATAGCTGCCCTCCCAAGCCTGCCAGTAGGTAAATAACTTGTCTGGGCTGAGCAGCAAATCCCTGAGAGTGGAATTTTCTTGTGGTGCTGTGCTTCAGAAACACTGAGAATAAAGGGAAAGGGTTTCATGACATTCCATTTGGTGGTGCTTGGAAAACAGTCAGTGTATGTGTGTTTGTGAGTCATTAGGTGAAGTCAGTTGCAGACTTACAGAGGCTGCAGGCTGGAATTTCTGCCAGAGTCTTTCTCATGGTATGAGTTAAAGTAAATGCAGTGATGTTATTAGAGCTAAAAAATTGGAGGCCTCAGCACAGAGTTGCAAATTTATCTAGAAAATAAAGGATCTAGTGGTTTAAAACTGGAAACAATGTCTAATTTTAAGTTTTACTGCTAGGATTTAATTTGGTTGAAGTACAACAAAGATTTTCAGTTGTGATTTCTGCAGTCAAAGAACTAGAGTCCTACCAGATCCCACATCCTGGGACACTTCAAGAGAGAAGGAATCAGCTAAAAGGGAGGAGAGTGTGGGATGGGCTTTCCTCTCTGTGAGGAGTAATCTCATAATGCTCCAAAATGCTTGTTTCAAATCCTCTAACACACAAAATGTGGTTGCTGCTGTTATATTTCTTACCTTGTCATCCCTTATACTGCTGCCAGCTATTGTTAAGAGTTTCAAAAGAAGAAAACACACAAGCCTCAGATTTTGAAACTGTTCCATCTGTGTTTGGCAGTAGCCAATTTTACTTCTTCACAGCTACCTTGGATCTAGGCAATGTGTTTAAATAAATAAATAGAGTCCACCTTTCCCAGCGGCTTTAGAGTATGAGGACAGGCAAATATTAAAGTGCAATAATAAAGGAGTAGGAGTAGACAAATTTGGGACGCTTAAGAGATTAATAAAGGCAGAGGATTTTTTGTAGCTGGAATTTTCTTTAACATTGTGAACTCTGCTGTATCACCGTGGCATGCTGCAGATGCTACAGAAACAAGAAACCTCAAGGCTCCTGCTTTGCATTGCCTCTTGTGATATGTCAAAGCTTCTGGAAATTATAATTCAAGTAGTTACTGTATAGAATTTTTCCTTATCTTGCGTAAAATTCATCCTTGTGCTAAAGGCATTTGCATCACTTTTGGAGTGCCAAATTTTCAGTGCTGTAGAGCTCTATGACACTGAAGAACAGACTAGAAAGAGATGGCTGAGTACTCTGCATGAGACATGATGGGGTTTGTCTAGTGCATATAACCATAAAACCTTGAGCAATTGTACTGTTTAACATGGTGTTTTCACATTCTTCATAAATTTTGTTGCAAGTTGCAAAATAGTTAGTGCTCACTTAAAGATTTATCTCCTATAGTCCAGGTACTAGTTTGGAATTTCAGCTTTCTTCTTATTTTCTGGTGTTTTTGCAAGGTTCTAATGATAGGGTGGCAATGAAAGTGTTAAAATTATTTACAAAGATACCAAGTAGACTGAAGTAGGAGAAAATGAGTCAAATATCCAGATCATTAGCTTTTGTGAAAGTGAAAAAACTCATTACATTGTATTTTTTTGTGTGCTTTTGATAATATATTTCCATAGATATTTGAGAACTATACATGCATGCTTCTATATTTCTTCCTCCTTACATCACATCTGCATGTCCAGGTGCAGGGAAACTTTTCCCTTGTGTGAGAATTGCATTGTGCACTGTGATGGAAGAAGCACTGGAGTGTGGTGACCACTATCCTTTAAGCATTTGAAACCTTGACTCCAATCTTGGCTTGAATTTCAAATGAAAATAAGTAAATATGTCATCTTTAAGCCTTAAGTTTTTACTGATGCCCTTGATGTAAGTATCCATCCCAATAGTTGATGTAATTGTGTGGCTCTTCCTCTGTTGAGGACTTCAGAACCCCTACAAGGTTATTGATGGAAAAGAAGAAATGTATGTCTCACGCTCAGTGCATAAAAACTTCCACAACAGCAGATTTGTTCAGTCTGGGAACAGGGCTCATTTTCAGAGTAGTTAGAAAAAATGAGACCATCGAGTGCCTGAAATGAGCTGCTGGAATCACTGTCACAGTTCCAGGCTCAGTTTGGCACCCACCGTGGCTGCACCTGCTGATGCCATTATGCTGACAGGTACAAATCACCAGACATGAAGGAGAAAACCATGAAACAGGCAACAACTGGTGCTGACTGCATAAAGCAATTACCAATCCCAGAGCCCAGGGCAGCAGTACCTAAAAGGAAGCAGGTGGACCACCAGGGACTGTATGTTTTCTCCCCACCCCTCCAGTACAACAGCCACCAAACATGCAGAGACATTTTGGAAAGTGCTTGCTACAGACAGACTCCCAAGGACGTGACAAACCCATCTCTCTCTTCTACTTTTACACACATCTTTCAAATGCCTACACGCCTTACAGAGATTTTCCACTTGTATTTTGAAATTGAATGTATTTTGCATCTTTTATGAATGTGCTGAGTGTAAGCAGAGAAGGATGGAGTTTTTGTGTGTTGTTGAGCAGTGTGAGCTTTAGTTTTGCCATGTGTCTAATTAGGTGGCTTTTTTAGTGTGTGCTCTGTATGGGCTAATTAGAGGAGTCTGGCCTACAGCCAGGCTATTTGTTCCTTCAAGATTTGGTTGCTCTACAGCATTGTTGGAACAGATTTGTCTTTCTGGTTCAGACTGGGAATGAATAAATACCACAGGTGGCAGAATACGAGCACAGAACATTACCTGCCTTGTTGATAGAGACAGACTGTAAGTCCTAAATGGATGATATTGGCACTTGTGAAAAGTCAGTTCTGTTCCTCACTGATTATCAGAGACATTTCAGCAAAATGTCCAGCAAAGCTGCAATCACAGTAATTGCATAACAATTGCAATCACAGGTCTGTTTGGCCTTTCTGGAAGAGCAGCTATTTTTTATACAGTGGGTAGGTTTTCAAATGCCCTGGCAGTGTCAGGTTTGTGTGTGCCTTGCTGAAAAACTGCCTGGAAATGAGGAGTAAGGCACAGACAGAAATTAATGGCATCTATTTTAGCTGAGCTTGGCACAACACAGAGGGTTACCCAAACAAAGCCCAGCATCTCAGAGGCAGAGAGAACGTAAGCAAGCTTACAAAACTGAAGTCTTTAGAGCTGTTTTCTCTCCTCTTGCTTTTCCTGATTTCTGCTTTTACTCCTCATATGTATATCATATTTATTACTTCCCTTCTACTCACTTCACTGTAATAATTAATAAGAAATGTTATATTTTATTGTCATAGATAGTGG